CTGAGAACCCCAAAGGTCTTCTATTTTCCCTCTTCCCTCTTCCATGCAGTCCTCCAAGAATATCCCCCTGATTTATTTTTGGTGATATGAAAATATCTGCATATATTAGAGATGAAAACAGCTTTGAAGTAAATAGTTTGTATTCTTGAGCCCAATAATTAAAATCCTGTCAGAGGCCTACACTGTCTGACAGTAGATGTCTGTGCATCTCCTCCACTGCTGCCAGGAATTCAACTCAACATCTGACAAGACGCCAGTGGCAGCATCTCCCCAAGCTGAAGTTAGACCAAGGGTGGAGTGGGTCTGTTGAACCTACCTAAAAACTAGGTCCTAACATTCTGTCCCAAGACTGCAAATAAACAAATCATCTGTCACATAATAGGTGTATCAATAGTTTTTGGATGAATGAATGAGTAAATGATAGTTACAAAAAAGCAAACCAGAATTTTGAATGTTGATTTGTAGCACATCAAAGTGACTAATAACAATTCCAGAAATAGTCTGATTAAGATGAGTGCATAAAAAGCAATAATCATGTCTTGATGAGTTCGGAATGTTGTAAACATCTGCTCTATGTTTCTGAAGAATGGAAGAAGTATTAGGATTCCAAAGGAAAGGATGTAAATTTTAAGAGTTTTCCATTTTGATTTACATGAGTACTTTTCGTCCTGTAATTAGAATTTTTGGTTTGGTTTCATTTTAGAACTTTCAATTTATCTTTAGATAATGGTGCTGTAATTTTACTATGCTGTGGGATTCTGAGATGGGTGGAAAAACTCAAGGGCCTTGATATTGGAAGTTTTCTTAGATACTGTAATTAGCTTTTTTAGTTCATAAATAATTCCTCTGAGATTTATTTCCATAGATGTTTAATGAGCTTTATTAAGCCTTATTCAAATGGGTTCACGTAGAACCACATGAATGTTTCGCATAAAGCAGCATTCATGCATTGGAATTATAGATAAAATTGTTTAAAATTCTGTCCCCAAACTAGAAGCTCCTGAAACTGAACGGCCAAATTAGGTCAGTGGTCTCAATGGGGGGTGATAAAGGACCCAGGGATATTTGGCAAAATCTGGACACATTGTTAGTTGTCACTAGTGGGATGTAACTGGCATCTGGTGAGTAGAGGCCAGAGATGCTTCTAGACGTCATACAATTACCACAAAGAATTATCTGGGCCGGAATGTCAGTAGTGCCAAAGTTGAGGAACCCACAGTGAGGTGACAAGAGATGCAGAAAATAAGTTGCAGTCTTAGGCTATGAAATGTGCTTGTAATTGTTCCCTCTACGGTTTGGCTTTGCTGAGCCTGAGACAGAGTCATCCACAGTTCCTGGGACTTTACATGAGCCCGAGCCTTTTGAACAGTGTCTTTGCGGAGTGGAGGAAGCATGTGCTAAAGGACATCTCTTTCTCTGGTTAAAGCAGGTTTTATTTTCCAAATAAATGAAGTGTGAGTTTATATATTTCCAACATCTTGTTTTTAAAGAGTAAATGGCATCTTGAGGGATATAGTCCAAAATAAGAGCTTTTCTCTCTTTTAAAAAATTTCCTCTAAAATAATCATATTTGTAGAATCTAGATTGTGAAATATTTCAGAGGTTTAGTACTGTGTGTGCTGGTATCTGTTGAGAATATACAGATGATTGGTTCATCTGTGAGCCAATGTTCAGAGGGTTTGAAATGCTGGACAAACATATTAGGTGGGCTGCAAACTAAGTTAATGGTACCTTTTTAAATTTTTGTTTTGACAGTATGTAATATAAATTAAACCATTGCTCACTTTTCTTCTTTAACTTCCATTCAAGGTAACGATATAATTATGTATATATAATTATGTATATAGGTATAGTTATATAGATGTATATGTTCATATATTTAATACGTTTGTGTATGTACAAGTAGAAACTCTGTAACCAAAAAGTAAAATAATTTCTGGCATTAGAACAGCATTTCTCAATCTTTTTTTTCTTTGCCCTCCACACCTAAGGAGATTATAGAAATTTTTTTCTCATTGTGCCTCTCCAGTGAAATTTCAGTATCACACCATACACTATATATCTGCTTATGTATATATGTATATTTGTGTTTTATGCATAAAAAGAATAATATTTTTTCACCCCCCAAGAACCAATTTTCACTCCTTTGGGGATGATATCACCTCTGCATGCATTATTAGAATAAGACAGTGTTGTGATCTCTTGGAGTTCTTTGTATTAAATTGTATGACTTCACACAGAGCAAAACCTTTTCTCTCCCATGTTTCCATTTTTTTGATAGCCTCTTGAATGGATTAGGCGATGCTGTTGCTATCTGCTGTACACCTCAGTAATGAACAGTCCTATTCCTTTGCCTGAAAATCCCTAGTTGCAGCTCTGTTTAGGCCCATTCTAACCCAAAAGAAATTGTAGAAGATAGTCATATCATGGAAATTTTAACCTGTATTTAAGCATGGTCACCAATTTTTTAAATAACATTTTTATTGAGATATAATTTATACATAAAATTCACCCTTATGAAGTATACAATTGAGTGGCTTTTAGTGTATTTACAGAGTTGTGCAACCATCACTACTATCTAAATTTAGAACATTTTGATCCCCTCAAAAAGAAAACCTGGTAAAAATTTGAAACTTCTGTGTTTCAAAAGACACCATCAAGAAAGTGAAGATGGATGGGAGAAAATATTTGCAAATCATGTATCTGATAATGGACTTGTACTTAGAATAGATAAAGAACTCTTACAACTTAGTACTAAAAAGACAGACATCCCAATTTAAAAAATGGGCAAAGGACCTGAATAGACATGTCTCCAGGAAAGACATACAAATGGCCAATAAGTACATGAAAAGGTGCTGAACACCATTAGCCATCAGGGAAATGCAAATCAAAACCACAACGAGATACTACTCACACATACTAGGATGTCTGTAATCAAAAAGACAGACAATAACAGGTGTTGACAAAGATGTGGAGAAATTGGAACCCACATACACTGCTAGTGGGAATGTAAAATGGTGCCGCCACTTCAGAAAGGTTTGGCAGTTCCTCAAAAAGTTAAACATAGTGTTACTATGTGATCCAGCAGTTTCATTCCTAGGACTATACCGAAGAGAAATGACGAGAAATGACAACATATGTAAACTTACACAAAGATTTCTTTGGGGGAAGATGAAAATGTTCTAAAATTAGATTGTGGTGATGGTTTGTACAACTCTATGAATATACTAAAAATCATTGAATTATGTACTTTAAATGAGTGGATTATATGATATGTGAATTATATCTCTTTTTTTTTTTCCTTTTTGTCTTTTTTACTGACCGGCAACGGGATCGCAACCCTCGGTGTTGCGCCCGCACTGCGCTCAGCCAGTGAGCAGGAACATGGGATCCGAACCCTCGGCGGGAGCGCCGCCGCACTCCCAAGCGGCGCACTCTCCAGTGCGCCACTGGGCCGGCCCGTGAATTATATCTCAATAAAGCTTTTTTAAAAAGATGAAAACACTTTTCCCCCCTGCCAGCACCAACCATTAGCAGTCACTTCCCATCCCTACCTTGCTCCTTATATCCTCTAGTAAACACCAGTCTACTTTCTGCCTCTGTGGATTGGGCTGTTCTTAACATTTCATGTAAATGGAATCATACAATCTATGACTTTTTTTACCTGGCTTCTTTCACTTAGCATAATGTTTGTAAGTTTATCCATATTGTAGTATGTATCAGTACTTCATTCTCTTTTATTGCCAAATAATATCCCATTGCATGGATATACCACATTTTGTTTATCCATTCATCAGTTGATGAATGTTGGGGTTGTTTCCACTTCTCAGCTATTACAAATAATGCTTCTGTGAACATTCGTGTATGAGTCTTTATATGGACATATGTTTTCAGTTCTTTTGGGTGTATATCTAGGAGTGGAATTTCTGGATCATATCCCACTAGCAACTGATTTTTATGTGGAGACTGGTTATATAATCCTTAAAGTGAGTTTCCCAAGTCCTTGGCCAGTAGTTTACTTTCCCTCTCTCCCACGCAAGGCCACACAGTCCCTCAATTGGCAGATTAGAGATTTAAACTCCTAATTGTAGGGCTTTTTCATCCCTTGTCCAAACACACACACTCTCCACAGTTTTAAGGCTCTCTTGAATCGTACAGATTCCAGACAGCTGCTCTTCCTGGGAGACTCACTGACAGAACTCCTTTGAGGTCCTTTTCTCTTTAATAATAGATTATATTCTTCAGGCCTCTACCTCCTTTTAAGAAACTCATCTTTAAAATATATGTGAAGCTTTGTTCTTAATACTAGAACTTCTTTAGACACATACATCTCTATTTTCTATTTCAGCTATATTTTTGTGCACTGCACACACCCACACCAAACACGGCACTGTAACCTGCAACTGGGGCATCGATGCAGGGCTTGTCCAGCCTGTGTCTGTCTCCAACAGTCACACCGTCCAACAAGTGGAGTCAGGGAATCATCCTCAGTGTAGTCAGCTACTATGTGTTCACAAATCTATTTATATTTTCAGCCTCTACCACATCAGGGAGGGGAAGAAGGGGGATGAAAATTCCATATGTGGATTACTCCTGATTCGGATTGTTCTCATTTTTACTTGTTCCAAGATGGCCTCTGTATAACTTTCAGGGTTGCTGCTCTGGTCAACTTAAAGATTTGGTTAAAAACGTGATTGTTCGCTTTTCTATGCCCTTAATAACAACAGAGCAGGGTGTTTTCTTCCAACCCGTAATATTTTATTATAAAAAAGTCCCATTCTCGCATACAGAATATCTGTGTAATGTGTACGGACTCCAGGTGCTGGGCCGGCTGCTCCTCTTTACAGGGTACAATATACATCTCTGGGCCTGGCATCAAGTGGGCACATATTGCTTAATGAATGTTATAGAACAGAGGAATACATTTTGTCTGGTAAATGTATCATGCGTTCCACACATCATTTACATGCTATGCATACTTGTGTTTCCCTCTTTTGCAGGCTATCGGCTGTTCTCTGAACTGTAGTTGCCAAAGTTTCAAACCTGGGAAAATAAACCACCGTCAGTGTGAACAGTGCAGACATGGATGGGTGGCCCATGGTAACTTTATATTTCCCACTCTCTTGGCCTGTAGTGTTCCCTCTAAATAACTTATGGTTATTTGGGGACTGATTTAATATCTAAGAATGACAGCTAACTAGTAAGTTACTAGTATGAGACAAGCTAAACACTATATGTTATCTCTTTGAATCTTAACTACTCTCTTTGGTGTCTTAATAACCCCATTCTAAAAATATAGAAACTGGTGCCTCAGTGTTATCATTCTCCAATGATAGAAATGTTCTGTGCTGTCAAGTATAGTAGCCTCTAGCCTAGGGTTGCCAGATGAAATACAGAATGCTCAGTTAAATTTGAATTTCAGATAAACAACAAATAATTATTTATCCCACCCATTCATTATCTGAAATTTATATTCACATTTAACTAGGCATTCTATTTTTCTATTTGCAAATTCTGACAGCCCTACACTAGCCACCCGTGGCTACTAAGGATTTGAAACATGAATAGTATGATTGAAGAATGGAATTTCTAATTTTATTTAATTTTAATTTATTTTTGACTGAATTTAAGTAGCCATATGTGGCTTATGGCTATTGCAAAGAACAGCTTGGATTTAGGTGATTTAATTTGTCAGGATCCACAACTAGAAAGTGGCAAACTAGCTCAAACCCAGATCATCAGATTCCCAAGCCCAAGTTCTTCATCTCCAGACTCTATGCTTCTTGATCATTCATCCTCTTGATTGTGCATCAGCCACTTTTGTTTTTTTGTCTTTTCCTTGTTCCTTCACTGTCTGTGACAGTTTTCAATCCTTAGAGATGCCACAAGAAAAGGAGAAAATTTTCAGGCCAGTCAATTTTATTTTAGAGTTTCCTATGAATAACTTGAAGCCTGATAGTTATTAAGGTGTTAATCATTTGCATATTCATGTTTTTTCTGTTGGAAAAGATAACTGAGAATTAGTCCTGGCCTACTTTCTGTGCAGTATTCCTCTTAAAATTAGAACTTCCTAAATGATATTTCTTCAATTTGATTTTTCAGCTCTAAGTAAACTGAGGATCCCCTCCATGTATCCAACAAGCCAGGTGGAGATTGTCCAGTCCAATGTGGTGTTTGATATTAGCAGCCTCATGCTCTATGGGACCCAGGCCATCCCTGTTCGCCTGAAAATTCTACTGGATCGGCTCTTCAGTGTGTTGAAGCAAGATGAGGTTCTCCAGATCCTCCATGCTTTGGACTGGACCCTTCAGGATTACATCCGTGGATACGTACTACAGGTACCATGATCATGGCCACTGTTCTTGAGTGTTTTCTGAAATTCGTGCCCATGTAGCTAATGAAACCCTGTTGCCTACCAGTGCTACAGCCGTTGGTGGTCATCCTTCCCTTTAATTTTTTTTTCTAATGGTTTAAACCCTTACCTCATGTTCTGGGGAGAGTCCAGTGCTTTCCCCAGGATATCTGTGAAACTTCAGGATGTGGGGGTTTTACATATTCTCTGATTTAGTTTTCACTAAGCCACCTCTTCCACGGTAAATCATTTGTCCCTTTCAGGGCCTGCCTTCATTTCTTTTCTTATCCCCAAACTACCTACTGACACAAGATGCTGTCTGTATCAGAGTTTACTGAGAATTTGGGGGTGATAAAGGGAACTTACATTACAGAACCACACAACAAACAACTTACAATTTCATACCATACCGTCCTGTCCTTTAAAGCCCTCTGCCATCCCACTGCTAGTTTTCCTTCCTAGGCTCTATTTCTTGTGATATTTCTGTGTTCATTCATTTTCTCATTCTCTTTCTCTCCCCGAATTCTCTTTTGGCATCCTATGTTTCCTCTTCTCTTCTCCAGTGATCTATGCCCTTCATCCCTTCTTCCTCTTTAGTTTGCATAGTAGTTTACCTTTCTTCCCAGACTATGCTATGGGCATAGGCCTCACGTTTCATATTCAAAGAGGATATGAAAATAAAGGTAATTTTACAATTAAAGAACATGTTTACTGAGATGAATTATATCATTCCTTTGAGATTTGAAACAGCTACAGCATTTTTTTTTTTCTTGCCACTACACTAGAAAATATCAGCTAGCTTTGGTAAAAATTTCAATGAAATGGGGGATGGATGTATTTTCGAGACTAACATAGACTTCAGTCTGACTCAAGTAAGCCATTTCATTAAAACAAACACTAATAACAACATTTACTGATGTAGATCCTCTTCTAGTAGTCTTATAAAGTAGGTATATTATTCTCATTTTCTAACAGAAAAACCAGATGCTCAGAGTGCTTCAGAAATCTTGCTGAAAGTCATTCCATTAGTATGTAGCAAATCCAGAATTTGAACCCACTTCTTTCAAACTCGGAAGCCCATAATTTTTCCCTGGAAACACATTTGCTCACCTCTAGTGCTGGACCCTCAGCAGGCTAGAAACAACCATTTATGTAGAGTAGCATTATGATCTTACATTATGACATAGATCAATATTTAATGACCCTAATAATCTTGCTTTCCAGTGTAAGGATTAAAAATATGGAATCAATTACCTTGAACCTCTAGTGCATGAAAAATTTATGATGTTACATTCCTCATCATCTTCAAAACTCTTACATGCACTGTGAAAAATCTCAGTAGGCCTTCAAATACATGTTCTGTGATAAAATATTTATCGTAGTTTTGGGGAAAGTTAGGCTTGCTAGAGTTTGAAAGATCTCCAACACTCCAGCGTAATTACAGCTTTGCTTTGTGAACACAGCAATAGATCAATACGGGTTCATTTGTTTTCTGATGTTAGTTACTTGGGAAGATTATTAAACTTGCAACAAATGAATACTTGAGCTTATTTAGACCTGATTGCTACATCTATACTCTTTAGAAAAAGAAATTACTATTGTTCAATTGATACATATTTTAATTTTAGTGAGGAAAATTATTATGCTTAATGCAAGACAACCAATTGGTTTGGAATAAGGTGAAGAATAATTACCAAATATCCCCGAGTTTGGCTTGAGTAATATAATTTTATTTCTCTCTTTTGGACCAATTGTAGGACCACCACTTACATTTGTGAAGTTTATATTCTGCACAAAGTTTCTGGCCTGAGAGAGTGGGGTGAGCAGTTGCTGAACTCCCCAAGCCCTGTGCTCATCCACAGGGAGTGTCTTTTTCTGTTATACACAAAGGTGCCCTACAGTCTTGTGGAGGCCTGACCAAATGGCTACTTTCTTAGAGGAAAAGGTAAGAAGTAGTAAATTGATCACACTTCTAAATTCTGGTTTTGGTTTAGGATGCATCAGGAAAGGTGTTGGATCACTGGAGCATCATGACCAGTGAGGAAGAAGTGGCCACCTTGCAGCAGTTCCTTCGTTTTGGAGAAACCAAGTCCATAGTTGAGCTCATGGCAATTCAAGAGAAAGAAGAACAATCTATCATCATACCACCCTCCACAACGAACGTAGATATCAGGGCTTTCATTGAGAGCTGCAGCCATAGGAGTTCTAACATCCCCACTCCTGTGGACAAAGGAAACCCCAGCAGTATGCACCCCTTTGAGAACCTCATAAACAACATGACTTTCATGCTGCCTTTCCAATTCTTCAACCCTCTGCCTCCTGCACTGATAGGGTCACTTCCCGAACAATACATGCTGGAGCAGGGTCATGACCAAGATCAGGACCCCAAACAGGAAATCCACGGGCCCTTTCCTGACAGCAGCTTCTTAACTTCCAATTCCACATCATTTCAGGTTGAAAAAGAGTATTTAAACTGTCCAGATGCTGTTACTAAAAAAGGAGACAGTGCCCATTTAAGTGACTCTAATTCATACAACATTGTCGCAAAGCTTGAAAGGACACAGTTATCCCCTGAGACCAAAGTGAAGCCCGAGAGGAACAGCCTTGGCACAAAGAAGGGCCGGGTGTTTTGCACTGCATGCGAGAAGACCTTCTATGACAAAGGTACCCTCAAGATCCACTACAATGCTGTCCACCTGAAGATCAAGCATAAATGTACCATTGAAGGGTGTAACATGGTATTTAGCTCCCTGAGGAGTCGGAACCGCCATAGTGCCAACCCCAACCCTCGGCTGCACATGCCAATGAATAGAAATAACCGGGACAAAGATCTCAGGAACAGCCTGACTCTGGCCAGTTCTGAGAACTACAAGCGCCCAGGTTTCTTGCTGACATCTCCAGACTGTAGGCCTCTCCCCAGCTACAGTGGTTTAGGGGAGGATTCCAAAGGCCAGTCAGCCTTCCCAAGCATTGGGCAAAATGGTGTGCTTTTTCCCAACCTAAAGACAGTCCAGCCAGTCCTTCCTTTCTACCGCAGTCCATCCACTCCCGCTGAGCTGGCAAACACGCCTGGGATGCTGCCTTCTCTCCCTCTGTTGTCCTCTTCAATCCCAGAACAGCTGGTTTCAAACGAAGTGCCATTCGATGCCCTTCCCAAGAAGAAATCCCGTAAGTCCAGTATGCCTATCAAAATAGAGAAGGAAGCTGTGGAAATAGCTAATGAGAAGAGGCACAACCTCAGCTCGGATGAAGACATGCCCCTGCAGGTGGTCAGTGAAGATGAGCCAGAGGCCTGCAGTCCTCAGTCAGACAGAGCACCTGAGGAGCAGCACACACAGTCAGAAAGTTTAAGGAAGTCTCTCACTGAAGGAGAAAGGCCCTGCCATCTCCCATCAGTGAATGAGTCCAGTGGAACCATCAGCCAAACCCCTGAACAGGCCACACACAACTCAGAGAGGGAGACTGAACAGAAGCTGGCATTGACCATGGTGCCAAGGGAGGTTGAGGATGGTGGCCGTGAACACCACTTCACACATGGGATGGAACCCCGAGTTTCTTTTCCTGACTACGTGGAACTGCAACAGCGCCTGCTGGCTGGGGGACTCTTCAGTGCTTTGTCCAACAGGGGAATGGCTTTTCCTTTTCTCGAAGATCCTAAAGAACTGGAGCACATGGGTCAGCATGCATTAGCGAGGCAAAAGGAAGAAAATCCCTTCCAGTGTAACATCTGCAAAAAGACCTTTAAAAATGCTTGCAGTATGAAAATGCACCAAAAGAATATACATGCCAAAGAAACACACACGTGCACAGTGGAGGGCTGTAATGCCACCTTCCCTTCCCGCAGGAGCAGAGACAGGTAAGGCATCTGCTGGCAATCATTCTTCTAAGGCAGTGTTTTTTAAACTTTAACATGCATCAGATCCACCTAGAGGTTGTTAAAACACACACTTTGGGCCCCACGCCTAGAATTTCTGCTTCAGTAGGTCTGGGGAAGGCCAGAGAATTTGCATTTCTAACAAGTTCCCAGGGGATGCTGATGGTGCAGCTCAGGGGACCACAGTTTAAGAAACACTGTTCTATGAAATTTCATAGTTCCACATTCATAAGTTTTCAGTTCCATAAATCTAAACTCATTCTGCTGTAAAACCTGACCTTAAATGATGTGAGGCTATTTGTAATCTTTTAAAAATCTCTCTTTATGTGGATTTTTTTATATGTTCATTACAGAAATATGTAAAGATTCCTATAATAAGTTCATTCATAATATTTCAATGTATGCATCACTCTGCGTTTTTGAAGTCTGAGAATTCTGGATTCTGAAACATATCTGGCCTCAAGGGGTGTGGTAAGGAATCATGAACTAGTTTTCACATTAGCATCTTGGGTAAAAGATAAATAACTATTTGAAGAGGAGGGAGGAGGGAGCTTTTTAAATTATCTCTGTAGCTTCCCAAAACTTGTCTGATTCTCATTTCATAATATGAAGTCCATCAAATGAGACATTTTCTCTGATTTTTAGTTAACCAGGTACATTTGAAAAGAAGAATAACTGCTTGATATTTTTTAAAAACTAAGGTACCAAAGAAAAAAGGATTGGCAGGTTATTTCAGGGGCTGTGATGTGTGGTTGAAAGATGCTGGGTTTTCATGACATACTTGCAGAGTCAAACTGTTTACAAATTGCCCACTTAAGAGTATCTCATCACTCTGGGGACACAGCACTGGCATTACCATCTTGCTTGTGCTTTTCTTCATGAACTTGAGACACTTAACCACTCTTTAGGTCACCCTCCTCCCCAGCCTATAAAAGGAAGAGCAAGCATACCAAACGGCAACCCTAGGAGGCTTAAGGAAAGGGTCAGCTGTCTGATGAAATGCAGAATGATAAGTACTAAATCGTTCTTGGGATATTAAAAGGCTACATTTGCTCAAACAAGCTTGACTTGAAGCAGTTCAAAACCACCACCGACTTAGTCCATACTGTAATGCCTAATTTGTTAAGTGTTAAGAAGCTGAAAATGTACAGACTCCCACACACATTCCTAGACAGGGCTCCTAAGAACACACTCATTGTCTTTAGCAAAGAGGATAGAGTGCAGGAGATATTAGTTAAAATTCCTGTTTCTGTTGCTAAGATGTTGAACCAAACCACCAGGGCACCCTAATTAGTGAACCAGTCCTTCTCCTTCATCCTCCAAGAGGAAGAATGTTTGTTCATGAATAAGCTGTTGTTATAAAGAGAGAGTCTATTCGGTCAGATTATCCTTGATATTTATGATGCTGTTTAACCTAAAATATCTACTAAATTAGAAGGCATGTTATGGGGCCGGCCCGGTGGTGCACTGCTACAGTGCACTGCTTGGGAAGTGCGGTGGCGCTCCCGCCGAGGGTTTGGATCCCACATACAGACCGGTTCCCGCTCACTGGCTGAGCGAGGTGCAGGGGGCAACACCGAGGGTTGTGATCCCGTTGCCGGTCCCGGCCCGGTACGGGCGCGACACTGAGGGTTGCGATCCGTTGCCGGTCATGAAAAAAGACAAAAAGGAAAAAAAAAAAAGTATCTTAAATCTAACATGCCTTCTTTTTTTTTTTCATCTGGTATTTATTTTCTCATATATCTAATATTTTCTTATGTTCTGACCTATTTTATATATGAGCACCCCCCCAAACAGGAAAGTATCTTGCAGTCTAAATTAAAACTACTAATTCCAGTAGTCTAGAACTTGGAATGCATTTATCTACAATCTGTGATTTAAATGACACCTCTTTTTTTATTTTTATTTATTTATTTTTTTTGGTGGCTGGCCAGTAGGGGGATCTGAACCCTTTACCTTGGTGTTATAACACCATGCTCTAACCAATTGAGCTAACTAGTCAGCAAAATGACACCATTTTAAATAGGACTTTGTGGGCAGGACCCAGGTTCACCACCATTTCTCGGAGTCAGAGATGAGAACCACATTGCTGTAAGGACAACTAACTTCCCATCTTTGAGCCACTGCTACTACCAACAGCAGGTACTAGGGCCCATCAGGAAGGGACTGGAACAGAACCCTGAATGCTTATTTAGCCAACGAATATGTATTAAGAACCTTCTGTGATAAGTGCTGGGTACACAGTCTCTTCTTACTAAGGCCTTCAATGTAGTGGGGGAGACAGACCAGTAGACAGATAATTACAGCTGAATGTGTTGACTACTACGATGGAAGAAATATAGGCTGCTGTGGGCACTCAGGAGGGTGCCTAATCGGAGAACTTGAGAATTTAAGGAAGGCTTCCTGGAAGAAAAGGTGTGTCCAAATTAGTGGCTTTCAAGTGTTTTGGTCTCACAACCCCTATACAAACACTTGAAACCTAAGGACCCTCAAGAGCTTTTCTCTTTTGAGGTTATATCTATCAATATTTACTATATGAGAAATTAAAACTGAAAAAATCAATATTATATCACTTAAAATAACAATAAATGTATTGTATGTTAACACATTTTTATGAAAAAAATAACTTTTTCCAAAACAAAAATTTAGTAAGCTGAGTGGCTTTGTTTTACATTTTTGCAAATCTCTTTAATATCTGGCTTAGTAGAAGACAGCTGTAGTCTCATATCTGTTTCTGCATTCAGTCCATTGCAGTATCACATCGTGTAGCCTCTGGAAAACTCTACCGCACACTCATGAGAGAATAAGAGAAAGAAAGGCAAATAATGTCTTAGAATCATGAAATTTTGACTTCAGGAACCCCTGGAAAGGATCTCAGGGACCACTAGGGGTGCTCAGACCACACTTCGAGAACCATTGGTCTTAAGTAATCAAAATAGAAGCCAGGGGGAAGAGGTGAAGGGGAAGGTAGAAGTTGAAGGAAAGAGATACAGACTTGGGCAATGGGCACAAGATTAGCAAAGTTCTAGAAACAGCCTGGCACATGGTCCAGAGGGTTTTTGTGGTTGTAGCAGTCACTGGTCTTAGGGGACATGGCACCTCAGGAAATCCATCTAACTCTCTGAGGTTTGAAATGGGGGAGAGGAACCCACAAGTTAGCTTTTGGTATTCATGGGATACTCAGGACCTGGGCATGAGGCCCAGAGGTTTGCTGTGTTGCAGTAGAGACATTTCTGTACAAGTTTCCAGAATATGTTTGTCTGACCTTCTTTTAGCCACTTGTATATACTAGAACCTATATGTCAATCTAGTGTCTGGTTTTCTCCCAACATATACCAGCCCCTTCAACTCAGAATGCTAACATAATCACAGGGCAGAGTTGCAGTTGAAAAAAACTGCTCTCAAAGCAGGTCATCTGGGACTGTAATTCTTTTTTTTTTTTTTTCCTTTTTGTCTTTTTTCGTGTCCGGCAACGGATCGCAACCCTCAGTGTCGCGCCCATACCGGACCGGGACCGGCAACGGGATCGCAACCCTCGGTGCTGCACCCGCACCTCGCTCAGCCAGTGAGCGGGAACCGGTCTGTATGTGGGATCTGAACCCTCAGCGGGAGCGCCACCGCGCTCCCAAGCGGCGCACTGTAGCAGTGCGCCACTGGGCCGGCCCAAATTCTAGCTTTAAGAACTGGTAAAATCTCTCCTAATAACATTTTACGTATTTTAATGCTTTCACTATAAAACAAGAAGATTAATTTATTTTTATTTTTTTATTTTTATTTTTTATTTATTATTTTTTTTTCCTTTTTGTCTTTTTTCGTGTCCGGCAACGGATCGCAACCCTCAGTGTCGCGCCCATACCGGACCGGGACCGGCAACGGGATCGCAACCCTCGGTGCTGCACCCGCACCTCGCTCAGCCAGTGAGCGGGAACCGGTCTGTATGTGGGATCTGAACCCTCAGCGGGAGCGCCACCGCGCTCCCAAGCAGCGCACTGTAGCAGTGCGCCACCGGGCCGGCCCATGGGACTGTAATTCTGACTCTGTCCAGAAAAGAAATGTGTAAGGGCATAGAAGAGAAAGTTTGATAGTAAATTTTATACATTACATGAAGTATGATTAAGCCTCACACACAGACGTCTTTGGTGGAGATTTAGAAAAGAAAATTTCAGCTCTTGTTATTTTGGTGAGGGTGTTTTTCCCAACTTGACCCTGGCATACATTCTTTTCTGTATTGGGACAGGTATTTTCTCTGTTTTGAACAAGTCTCCTGTCACCTTTAAGATTGGCCCCTTGGTAAGGGATGTTTTTTGATTGTCAGAAGTTAGCAGGAGATCTCTCAGCAAGGACAAAATTGATTTACTAGTTACATCCAAATGATAACATATGAGTAAAAGGCATGTGTTGTAATGGATACTCATTATCTTCCCTACAGGGGTAATCATTGGGTAGAAGATTGGTGGTATGCTCACACTGCTGCGTTTGCAAAACTTCTGTCTGGTACATAGTGAAACACTGCAAATATGAACTGAACTGCGCGTGCACACATACACACACGCACACACACACACACACAATTTCTAGCCAATCAGATTTTCACCCATACCTGTAGAACTTCTGGGGTAAAGTGTGTGCAAATGCTCTAAACCAACACAATCCGATAGAAATATGCCAGCCCCATAGGAAGTTTCAAACATTCTAATAGCCACCTTAAAAAAGTAAAAACAAACAGGCAAAGTAAGTTTTAGTGACATATTTTAATTCAGTATATTCACAATATTATAATTTCAATAGCTATATTTCAGGTGCTCAGTAGCAATGTATGGCTAGTGGCTATCATATTGAATAATGAAGCTCTAGAAGATAATATTTCTTGGTTTCATTAAAGTTCTCTGCTTAGTTCCTTATAGTTTTAACTAGTTTTCTCATGGGATCTTCTGGTTCCAGTGTCCCAATTAAACCGGCCTAATTGAAGTAATCTAGCCATTCTCTACAGATGAGGTATAGGAAGTTACATGTTAATAAGGTGGTGGAAATTGAAGAGAACTACATATTTCCAGTTTCCAAACTGTTGGCTTTCCTGGTGAATGCTAATTTCTGACAAACAGTGAATGACAGTGGGCCAGTGTCCACTAGACTTGCATTACATTCCACAGGGGCCTAACCCCTTACCACCACTTCTCTCATGCCACAAGCTTTTCCTGGTATCTTACTGTCTCCCTCCACTTAGAATGATGACTCTTTCTAAAATAGCAGCCCAGCCCATTGCTAACCATCTTTTTTTACTCTTGTAGACACAGTTCAAATGTAAACCTCCACCAAAAAGGCTTGAACCAAGAAGCATTGGAAAGCAGTGAAGATCATTTCCGTGCAGCTTACTTTCTGAAAGATGTGGCTAAGGAGGCCTATCAGGATGTGGCCTTCACACAGCAAGCCTCCCAGACATCTGTCATCTTCAAGGGAACAAGTCGAATGGGCAGTCTGGTTTACCCAATAACCCAAGTCCACAGTGCCAGTCTGGAGAGCTACAACTCTGGTCCCCTGAGTGAGGGCACCATCCTGGATTTGAGCACTACCTCAAGCATGAAGTCAGAGAGCAGCAGCCATTCCTCTTGGGACTCTGATGGGGCAAGTGAAGAAGGCACCGTGCTTATGGAGGACAGTGATGGGAACTCTGAAGGGCCGAGCCTTGTCCCCGGGGAAGACGAGTACCCCATCTGTGTGCTGATGGAGAAGGCTGACCAGAGCCTTGCCAGTCTACCTTCTGGTTTGCCCATTACCTGTCACCTCTGCCAAAAGACATATAGTAATAAAGGGACCTTTAGGGCCCACTACAAAACTGTGCACCTCCGCCAGCTCCACAAATGCAAAGTGCCAGGCTGCAACACTATGTTTTCATCTGTTCGCAGTCGAAACAGACACAGCCAGAATCCCAACCTGCACAAAAGCCTGGCCTCATCTCCAAGTCACCTTCAGTAACAAGATGGCAGAACAGTATGCTCAGATAAGCGTTTGTCATAATTTAGGAATAAGGTAGTCCAAAGAAATGTTTAATACCATTTGGGGCAAGCCAGGCAAAAAGTATTTGATTTGACTTAATAGTTTTCTACAAAAGGATGAGCAAAAGACAAGCCTTGTGGGAAGTTGACACTGGGGTAGCCCTTCCTATTATTATTTTTCTTAGCCCAAGAGGTTTTTCACTAATGTAAGGAAAACCTGGAGAAATGCAGTTTTACCCAGATTTGTTTACATGTTCTCTGGGAGAGCTCTAGATCTACAGATCAGAGCTAGGGAGGAGGGGACGGAGGGCAGCCAGGGGTAGCCAGGACCTGGGGACAGGTTCAAGTGAGGCTTGCAGTATTAAGGGTCTTAGGGAAGACTGTGACCACAGGCAAGACACTAGTGGCAAAATCACATTTTCAGTTCCTTCTATAATGAGTCTGAAATCCAGACTTGAGTTTGGGAAAATGATTTGAGATCATCCCTCCATTTGGAGTGGATAATTGTTCCCCCACCCACCCCTGCCCCAAAGGTCTCACGTGTTACTCCATGGAGTTCTCAGAGGAAGTGGGTTGGCCTCTAACATGTTTCTTGTTAATTCTTGATCTCTAACACACATTCAAGAAGCTAGGGAAAAAATATTTCATGCACTTAAAAGAGTGGTCTTCCATTTAATTTAAAATGATTTTGATAATATTTAATTTGTGTTTATGTGAGTGTTTGGTATGAGTGCAGACATGTCATTGTCACCTCTGGATCTCTGTTCGGAAGCAGAACAAGTGACGACCTAAACTTTAAAACGACTGCCTGTTTCCATTTGGTGAACTTCGGAGTCTGTTCATTTTGATCCCTTGTGGAATGAGTGCAAGCATGATTCTGACAGAACCATTTGTATATATTCCACCAAAGCATCTGTAGTACGTGGTTCTGACAGTTGTATAATTTCAGTATCACTGGATCCCTCAGTCTTCACCCTTTAATAAATGTGTAAGATTAGGATGAACTTCCAAATTTGCTTGGTAGAAAGAAAAGTAGGACATTATTGATAATACTGTGTGTCTTAATATTAACTTATTCATAAATATATTTCACACTGTTATACACATTTGCCATTGTCAAAAGGAAGCTTAGTTAACCCTGTGGAATGAAACCATCTCCTGAAATTCGGTATTTGCAGTATTCTAAAAGCTTGTGATTTTGTGTTAAGAGTTCAAGTTAATCATCTTTTAAACTCATGGTTGGTTTAAGTAATAAAAAACATCCTTAAAGAAAATTGAGGGTTATAAGAGAGATTATTCTTCTGGCCTAAATGTTAAAAAGGCCAACAACTTGTTACTGATTATTTCAACTTTTTTTTTTTAATAAATGTGACAACTTAAAACTTGTCTCTGCTTAAAGCGAGATAAATCTTTCAACTGTTTTGTTACCCAGCTGTTTAATATCCCAGTTTCCCCAAAGTGGAAAAATTTGTATACAAATGTTTTCTATGGCTTAATAAAAATATATGGCACATCTTTTGTTTAAAAAGGCAAACATTTGTGAAAATGGTTTTGTCATATGGACTCCCTTTTGTATGAGTGCATGTGCTCTTGCATACACCCACACAGACACACTATGAATTTGACAGAGCTGAAAAACCAGGGGAGGTCTGGTGGACAGGAAGTAGTGTCAGTAACACGGCCACATCAAAACAGGAAAAGCAGAAATTAATGAATTCAAAAAGAAATGAACTGGTTACTTCATTGGGAAGAGGAGCTGGGTACTGATCTTTTATCAAGGAAAATACAAAATAAGGTGATTTTTTTAAAAAATACAGTGCTATCAAAGATAAGTCTTATATAGCCAGTGCTCAAAATAGAATGCAATGAAAGATTTAGGCCTCTCTTTAAATATGTAGATTTGTTTTAAAAACTTAAATTTTGATAACTTTTCTTTATTTCCTCACCTTTTTTTCCTACCCTTCCAATGTATAGATGAAAACACAAGACCACCTACCCCTCCATCCCCTTTCAGTTGATGCCGTTGCTTCTTATTTCGCTGGGAGAAAAAAAGTGATCAGAGGGAAACGTATTCATCTGCCAGCATCTGTACTATTACCATGCTATTCCAAGCCACATCAGCTCTTCTGGATGACTATGGTAGCCTCCTAACCTGTCTGTTGCTTACATTCTTACATCCTACAGCAGCCAGAATGGACCTTCTAAGATGTAATCTTGTAGTGCCCCTTAACAGTCAGTATAAAATTCAAAGACTGTTCCAAGGCCTACAAGGCCCTATAATATCTTCCCACTCCTGCTACTTCTTTATTCTCCTTTTATTTCCTGCTATTCTCCTTTTATTACATCCGTTGTTGGCTTTCTCTTTCTTTCCCCACAGTAGCTCTTCCAAAATTCGGCTTTGCAAGATCCTACCCCACCAACTCTCCTATTCACAGTAGCTGACCTTACTTTCTCCTCTCAGATAATTGGTGGAAACCCCTTTGATTTCTCCCCATGGCCCACCACCTCCTTATCAGTTTGTCTATATTCACACCCGTCCTCTTGTGGTTATGTCTGCCTGGACCTCCTAAGACTCTACCTCGTGCTTGGTGGGCAGTCACAGTGACCTGCAAGCCTCTATGAAAAAGTGACCAGGATCTCCCCACCACCCATTTTGCTGTCACACTCAGATTTGTCATGGTCTCCCTAGGCTCAGCATCTATCACCAAGGGATCTGAATTTCCCTGGTTCAACCTTTCTGGTTTTATCCACTTGTACATATGGGTGGCTATATTAGTCTGCATCCTCCGTGAAGCAGACACCAACAGGACTAAATGTGCAAGAACTTTATTAAGAGAAGCTGGGAGAGCCAATAGAGGCAAGCAGTTCTGACCGCCAGTGAAGGAGGGAGGGTCAGGTGAAAGTGTCCTAGACCATCGCACACTCCGAGGAAGGTTCAGCAGGGTCATCAGAGAGTCCTTGAGCCAAAGACAACTGTCAGAGCAATGCGCTGGGAATTGTATTCCTGCCACACTCAGTCATGGACTTTGAGCAGCCAGTGGGAAGGCTCAGTGTGAACATAGCACGGATTTCAGAGCACAGTAGCTGAGCCCTTAGCCAAATCTCACCTTTCTAAAGCCCCCGTGTCCTGTTCAAAATGGATTCAAACCTATACTTTTCTGTGGACTTAAGTGTTCCTATTCTTTCTGAAGGCTGATGCCCTCACCTCACCCCTCCGACCACCTCAGGGGCGTCACTCCCTCACTTCTTTACTCTCCCGTTCATTATCAAACTCATGCTTTCCACTGGGTCCATCTCTCTAGCCTGTAACATTTGCGAATCTCTCTAATCCTAATGATTAAAAGAAAGAATATCCTTCTGGACCCCTGATCTCTTCTAATGATATTCTCTCCTTGTTTTATAGCCAAAGTCCTTAGAATACTAGATTTTCCCTCTCTCCTAATCACTAACTCTTGTTTCGTTTCTTATCCTGGTAGGGGCCTCACTCTTATAAGGTTCCCAGTTACTTCCTGATGGCCACATCCAAAGGACACGTTTGGTTCTCTGGTGTCCCCTAGTCCTGTCCTTGACTTTTCTCTCCTCATGTTCATGCTCTCTCCTAGGTTGTCTCATTTATTCCCATGACTTTGACTCCTGTCAGGAGGCTGGTGCCTCCTAAGTCTCCACCTCCAATAGGATTCCTCCAGAGCTTCCCTCTTGACTAGCAAATGCCTATTGGATATCATGGAATAATCTACAGCATCTCCAGCTCCAACTTGTCCTAAATTTCAATTGGTTATTTCCCTACCAACCAGTGATTTTCCTTCTGTTTCCTTGGATTGAGAGAGTGGTATCATCACCCATCTGGCCAGCCCAAACTAAAGCCCTGGGGGCAATACTAGGTACAATTAAGAGCAAGGCTCTTCAAGTCCAACTGCCCAAGGTCAAACCCTGGCTATTCCACATACTGACCAGGTGACCTTGGCCAAGTTACAGCTTCTCTGAGTTGCAGTTTCCTCATTGCATATGAAGCACTTAGCACAGTGTCTGGTACATAAGCACTCAACAAACATTAGCTATAAGCTTCATCTTAATCGTTATTATCATCATCGCTATCCTAGACTTTTATCTCTCCCAATAGCCAGCAGTCAGTCACCAAGTCCCAACAAATCTACCTAACAAAAAACACTCTCACATTGTTGGGAAAATGGAACAATTTGGTCTGGCTCTCCTCACCCTGGAGCCGGTTCAGGGTGGTTCAGTAACATTATATGTGTGGGTGGAGTAAGGGCCACTGCACTGTGGTGCTGCTTTGGCTGGTTTTTACTGCCTCAGGCGCCCGTCCTGGGCAGCCATGTTTTTCCAGACCTGCAGCTTCCAAGGACCATGTGGCCAGTTGCCCAGCTTATAGACCTGCATGGAGGGGTCTGGTGACCCAGCCTGCCATGTGAAGGGTTTGTGACCCAGTCTGTGAATGGGTTTGAGGGGTCTGGGAGCTCCAGACCCAGCCCGAGCTCAACCATCGGCCCAGTCGGTGCAGGATCACCGGCAGGTAAAAGAGCCGTGACAACTAGCGTGGCCGCCTAGCTTTACAATTGGCGTCACGAACAGGATTAAGAGCTAGACAATTGGTGATGTCAGCAAGATTATGCCAGACACACATCTTTCCCCTCTTTTTCATGCACGTAATCAATCCTCTCTTCTCTTCTTTCTCTAAGACCATTTCAACAGCCTCCTACTTTTTATTTACCCTCAAATCCATCTTCAGACTGCAGCCTGAGTTCTACAATAACACAGATCTGACTGTGTCTCCCCGCACTCTAGTTGCTTCCCACTGACATCAGGGTAGAATCCCAACAAGGCCAGGCCTCAGCCAGGCTGCCCCCTGCAATTGCCCCACAGTCCCAAGGCTGGTCAGCCTCCTATGGCCCTGCACATGTGGCTTGCTCTGCAGGAACTGCCTTTCCAGTTTCTCACCCACTAACCCTTGGTCCTCTTGGAAACTCAGCTCAGGTATCCTCATGTCCAGGAAGCCTCTTTTGACTCCTATCCCTTCTCCCTCAGTGTGAGCAATCCCATTCTCTGCACCCAC